ATTTTTTGGTTGCAGCCATCATTGTTGTTTGGCGGGCCCGGGCTGGGGATTCGAACCCGCCGCCTTAGGTGTATGTGGCTGGCGCCTTAGCCGCTTGAGCCACAGGCGCCGAGCCCGAAGTTCTACTTTTGTAGAGGCCTTAGTGCATTGCTGAGGTTGGTCTCTAACTCCCAGCCTCAAGCAACACTCTCCCTCCTCAGCCTCCCAAAGTGCTAGAATTACAGACGTGAACCATTGCACCTAGCCCACTACAAAAAATTTTCTTAAAGTTAGTTGAGTGTGATAGTACATGCCTGTAATACAGAATAAGATCCTGTCTCAAAAGAAAAAAAAAAGAATGCCTTTTATGTAGCAGTAACAATTATTAATTTCACCAACAATTTTATTAAATGTCTATCTTTTAAATATTCTGTGTGACTAAACAAGAAGAAAGCCCAGGCAGGTCTGCTGCTCAGTGAAGTACAAGTTATTGCAGGAAAAGCACTCGTATGATTGAGTTGAGAGATGGATCAAATTTTTTTCATAAAACGCCACTTCTACATAAAAGGATGACTGACAGAGTTGATATCTGGCAGCAATTTTCAAAAAAAATGAGTAAGGTAGGCCTGTCAGTTCCAGGAAAACAACCGATAGTCTTTGTCAAAAATAAAACTTACCCTTTCAAGAAAAAAATATAATTCTGAAAATTTTATATTGGTTATTGTGACCTTGACAGCTGCCTAAGATTTTTTTTTCTGATGTGGTAAGTGATGATAGTAAAGAATCTGATTCTTTTTTCTTTTTTTTTGTAGAGACAGAATCTCACTTTATCACCCTCGGTAGAGGGCTGTGGTGTCACATAGCTCACAGCAACCACCAACTCCTGGGCTTAGGCGATTCTCTTGCCTCAGTCTCCCGAGTAGCTGGGACTACAGGCACCTGCCACAATGCCCGGCTATATATATATGTTTTTTTGTTTTTGTTTTTGTTTTTTTTTTGCAGTTTTTGGCTGGGGCTGGGCTTGAACCCACCACCTCCAGCATATGGGGCCGGTGCCCTACCCACTGAGCCCAAGAATCGATTTTTTTTTAAATAATATATAACAAAACATCAGTATTTAGAAGATGTACAGAAATCAGTGATCCCACATTCTGAATGACCAATATGAGTTACAAAAGCATGCGAGGGTAAAGAAAACATTCCTCATCTCACTCTGTTGCCCAGGCTGGAGTGCTGTGGCACGCAAACTCTCGGGTTCAGGCAATCTTCCTGCCTCAGCCTCCCGTGTAGCTGGGACTACAGGCACCCACCCTAACGCCCAACTAATTTTTCTATTTTTAGCAGACACAGAGTCTCACACTCCTGAGCTCAAGGGATCCTCCTGCCTCAGCCTCCTGGAGTGCTGGATTACAGGTGTGAGCCACCACACCCACCCAGCCAGACCACTAAGCTTTAATATGCCTAAGTACAAAAACACCACTGACCTGTGTCAAATTCCACACTTCAATTAACCATTAAAAAGTATCATTTTTTGAGTTTAGTGTAGCATTTAGAACAGCCCCCATTAAATGAGAAAAGGCTAATAAAAGACTCCTCTCATTTCCAGTCACATGTGGAGCCTAAATGCTCTTCATATACTTTTAACTAAAACCTATTACGAGAAACTGAATGCAGAAGCAGATACGAGAATGCAGGCATTAAACAAATTTGTAAACATGTAAAAGAAAGCCATTCTTCTCACTAAATATTTTTAGAAAATATTATTTTGCACAAAGAAAAAGCAATGTCTTCATGTTAGCATGTAATATTATTTAATGGACAAATAAATATGTGCTTTGGGGTCCTCAACTACAAAGTGTGAGAACCACAGAACCAGTGGGAAAAAAAAAACAAAACACAGAGTAAAGGATTATTAAAAACCATAAAATAAAAACTGAAGGACACGAACTTGTAGATTTAATTCCAACTGTTTCAACTGGAGCAGGTGGTCAGGAGGAAGGGGAAAGTGTGAGTGCAGGGTCAGGGGTAGGGTGTAGGGGCTGGAAGAGCTAAAAGATAACCCCAAGAAAGCTCTAAAGAACTTAGAAAATAGTTGCATCTTGACCTTCAGCTTCCATGTTAAGAAGCCAAAAGATAATATCGAAAATTGCAAGACCTTGAAAGAGCAGCATAAACATTACTGTAGAAATTCAGAGCTAATGACCTAGAGAAAGCTATTTCTGTAGAATGAGACTAAAGCTAGGGGGAGCACCAAATAGGGCACTACTGTTTCTTAACAAAAGTCTTCAGACACTGTCAACTTATTCAGTCATGTTCACGTATTACTATGATAAAAATTAAATTTAAGAAATCTAGCACTGCAAAAGTCAACTTTTGTTAATTTGATGAAAGTCACAAGTTTATCTCATCTCTGAATAGTCAAGCACCCAGACGCCTCACCAGGAATGCTCCGGAACCATGAAGAGCAACAGTTAACACTCAGGAATGCTGCAAGACTCCAGAGGTTGAGGGCAGGCGCTGGAGGTGAGCTGGGGAACACCAAGCCAGGCATTCACACATTCTGGCTCTCCAGTGATACGGGATCCATATTTATATCTGTCAAGGGGCTTGGCGCACTGTAAAAGCAGATCCCTGTCCAGTGGCCCAGCTAGGGACATTCTGGTCAAAGTAAGGGGTGATCTAACCGCCCACAGCATTGCTCATATGCTCCAGGACAGCATCTTTCAGTCACTCTTCAATAACAGAGCCGCCGCCGCCGGGGGACCTATACCTGGGCCTGTGGCTTCAGAACATCTTTCTAGTCTGTTTAGAGTTCTCAAATCTACAACCGTCATGGCATTAAAAGCAAGGTAACTGAAAGGCTCATAGTGTATAAAGAAAACGTGGAATTAGAGTTTGTTTGTAAGTTCAGTTTAACTACAAATACCATTACTTACCGAAAGAAATGTCTCGATGTTCTCGTGGACAAAGGAGGCAATATCCTGCCAGTCCAGAATGTCTCCCAGCCAGCTATTCTGACGACTTACATGCATCTTGTGTCCTTTGTGCCTTCCAGAATGTGTTACATTCTATGGATAAAAAAGTGCAGGCGTGAAATTTCCACCTTAACCTAGAAAATAGGAGTATCAATGTCCCATTTTGCTTCAGGTCCACTTAAGCACTTTGGTATGTACTCAGAGGTGACAAGCTTTGTGTTATTTAGGAAAGCAGCTAAGGGCTCCATCTAAACACCTAGAATACTCCTCTATTTACATTCTAGGTGCCAGGCCTGAGCCCTGCCCCCGAGTGCCCCCGTGTGCCCTGCTGCATCCCTCCACACCTGCAACAGTATCCCCATACAGCAGGTACTCTCGCCTTTTTTTCTTTTCACCCCTCCACCTTTCTCTTAGTCTCCCAGCTTTGCTTTTTTTCTCCTTTCCTTATCTCCCTGATTAATCTTCCACACAAGATAAAGAGAGCCAGGAGAGAGAAAAATGACAAACAAATAAGAATAAGGGGGGAGGAAAACTGAACTCATCTATGTGAAAGCCATTGGCAGAGATGAAGGAATAACTAAATTTGAAAAATATATAAATAAAGTGACAGGCAAGGCTAAAATCCAGGGGTGATTTCTTAACATTTCCCATGTGTTCCCCTTCTCCCCCATTTGCTAATGGGATAATGATAGTGACCTCTGTTACGCAATGCAGAAAGACACTGGATTCCTGCCAAAGAGGTAAAGAAGGCAACATACAGTTGGCCCTCCGTATCCGTGAGTTCTGCATCTACGGATTCAACCAAGTATGGATGGAAAATATCGGGGGGGGGGGGGGGTTTCCCCAAGTTCCACAAACTAAAACTTGAATTTGGCACACGCTGAGTACTATAATGAATCTACGCATCAAGTGCTGTGTTGAAAACATGCACATATGGTGATGTACAGATATTGTATGAGGTGTTACAAGTAATCTAGAGATGATTTAAAGTATATAGAAGGGTGCGTGCAGGGCATGTGCAAATACACCCACTGGCACAAGGGAGTTGAGCATCCCTGGATTTGTAAGTGCTCAGCCGCCACACATGGCCAGCATGGCATAACAGTAGCCTCTAAATCCATTGATTTTAGATGGAGTAAAAATATACATATTACTTTCCATCATAAATTCTTTTTTTTTTGGACACAAAATCTCACTCTTTCACCTTGGGTAGAATGCCATGGTGTCATAGTTCACAACAACCTCAAACTCTTTGGGCAAGTGCTCTTTCTGCCTCAGCCTCCCAAGTAGCAGGGACTTATAGGCACTGGCCACAACCCCCAGCTAGTTTTTCTATATTTGGTAGAGACAGGGTCTCGCTCTTGCTCAGGCTGGTCTCAAACTCTGAGCTCAAGAGCTTCTCCTGCCTCAGCCTCCCAGAGTGCCAGGATTACAGGTATCAGCCACCACACCTGGTCCCACCATAAATTCTAAAGTGAGAGTACATAAGCACAAGGAGCACACAGGGTGACTTAAAATAAAGATCCCTAAACTTTTAGATCTATTTTTACTTCTTCAGAAAGTTCTTAGTGTAGAGGGGAAGGGGAAAGGGAAGGGAAGGGAGAAAGGAAAGGGAGAGGAAGGGAAGCGGAGGGACCTAAAACAGGTAAAACTAACTTTAATGTAATTACTAGAAAAATTAACAGTACACATGGGGCCTGCACAGAGCTAGTCTAGAGGGTAAGATGTCAATGACAATGCAGAGAATGCGATCCTGACACATGAGAGAGGATGAGAGGTTCTGTCCTGGAGATTAACCATCAACTCAAGCTGACTTTTAGCGACCTGAGGATTAGGAGCTGCTTGTTTTAAAATGTCAATAATTTAAATTCCAATGTGAATACAGTCCTATCTCGTGAACGAGTCAATAAAATCAAAGGACTTTATTGGTTTACCAAGGACAACCTTAGTTAAAACAAACTTACCTTTACAAACCAAGAATGATACAGTCGGTCCCAAAGTTCCAGCACTTGCTTTTCAATTACGGCTGTGTTGTTCATCTTATCTCCTAGAATTTTATGAAGCTAAAAGAAACAGATATGACCTGGTTTAGGATTTCAGGTAACAATCCAGTAAAATTAACACATGCTGGGTCTTTATATGTGTTCAAAACAAACTGAAATGTTTCAGACCATTTAATTATCTAGCCATCTTATGTTTGTTTGTTTGTTTTTTTTTTTGGACAGAGCCTCAAGCTATTCCCCTGGGTAGAGTGCTGTGGCATCACAGCTCACAGCAACCTTCAACTCCTGGGCTCAAGCGAGTCTCCTGCCTCAGCCTCCCAAGTAGCTGGGACCACAGGCACCCGCCACAACACCTGGCTATTTTTTGGTTGCAGTCATCATTGTTGTTTGGTGGGCCCGGGCTAGATTCAAACCCGCTACCTTAGGTGTATGTGGCTGGTGCCTTAGTCACTTGAGCCACAGGTGCCGAGCCTCATGTTCTTTTCTTAAACTCTAGTCCTTGCTATTCCGAGAAATGTCCTCGGCTTTCTCATCCTTTTGCTTCTTTTCTCTTTCCTCTATTATCAGGTCTCTAAGAGAACTACTTCAGAGAAAGGTACAAATGAAGATACGGCAGAGAACGGCTCAAACGAAGACTTGGCTACTGACTCAGGTGATGTTCTTTCCCTGCAATGCCAGTGCCCACCTACTATACAAAAGTCTCACATTACACTTATCTCTATTATTAAGAATTATCCCAGAACTTTACGTAACATTATAGGACTTTAGATACGAACCCACGTCCTTCCTTCCCTTAGTTTGTTTGAGGGGTGATGTCCAGTCTCAGTCATGACTAAGAAGCTCGGCTTGTGGGTGTGCGAGAATCAGGAGCACCGAGACGACGTGACTCAGAGGAAGGCTATTCAATACCTGACCCCACTCACTTATTCAAATCGTAGTGTCATATAAACACAAGTACTGATTTGAGTCCCACCTCCTTAATACAATTATTTCCCTTTTTCCATTTTCTCTGTAACACTCTGCTTGTTGACATAGAGATGATTCGATACCGTTTCCTTTTGCATTATAAGCATTTCATCTTTAGCCTGAATCACTAACTTTCATCTTTATTTTTAATGTGTTTCTTTGTTCATTATGTCCCAGTATTATGTGATCATTACCCACATATAGGATATATAGATAATTACCAAATTTTAATGCCATATGTAACACTGCAATGAACAGTCAGACTCCAGCCGAGGTTGTTCACACAGCGTGGCCTTTACTACAATGAAGTAGTATTACAAACTGGCATCACTTTTAGCAATCTTGCTCCCAAGATGTCCATGAATAATTCTAAAATATAACAACTATTTAAGGAGACTTCAGTATAATTTTACAGCATGTTATGAACACTCCAAAACTATGGTGTTATCAAATATAGCAGAACATTAGACCCAGAATGCTGTCCTGCGACACTGCAATGCATATTGTAAATTGCAAGGAAGAAGGGGCCAGAGAATTTAGAGTCTAATGGACTAAGATTGCTATCAGAAGAATCATTAAGGGCTCAGCGCCTGTGGCTCAAGCAGCTGAGGCGCCAGCCACATACACCTAAGGTGGCGGGTTCGAATCCCCAGCCCAGCCCGCCAAACAACAATGATGGCTGCAACCAAAAAAAAAAATGGCCAGGTGTTGTGGCAGGCGCCTGTGGTCCCAGCTACTTGGGAGGCTGAGGCAGGAGACTCGCTTGAGCCCAGGAGTTGGAGGTTGCTGTGAGTGTGATGCCATGGCACTCTACCCAGGGGGATAGCTTGAGGCTCTGTCTCAAAAAAAAAAAAATCATTAAGGTCGGGCATAGTGGCTCAGGCCTGTAATCATAGCACTCTGGGAGGCCAAGGCAGAAGAATCACATCAAGACCAGCCTAAGCAAGAATAAGACTCTTTCTCTGGAAAAAACAGAAAAATTAACCAGGCACGGTGGTGCACACCTGCAGTCCCAGCTACTTGAGAGGCAGAGGATTCCTTTAGGCCATGAGTTAGTCAGTTATGATGGCAGCAATGCATTCTAGGCAGGGTGACAGAGCAAGACTCTCAAAAAAAAAAAAGAAGAAGAAGAAGAATCACTAAAAACCTACGCACTGCTGGTGGAATGTGACATGCTTCTGTATACCCAGCACCCAGAGCAGCCAGATGCCACCTGAGAGCCATCTAACTTGACATCATTTAAAAACTGGGGAGGACAAAAGTTAAGTGGGCAATTTTCTGTACCCATCTTGCTTGAATCCCAGGAGCCTTTGCCACAGCTGAGTGAGCCTTTCTTGAACCATTTTCTTTTCTAGACACCAATGACACCAGTTGGTTTTCCATTCCTCCTCAGTCTGCTGGCTCATCCTCTGATCTCCAAAGCTCAGTGCTCCAAATGGGTATCTTTGGTCCTCTCAAGCCGTGTTACAGGCTAAGGTGTTACAGGCTAAGGCTCCCCCCAAATTCCACTATTGAAGTCCTAGCCAGCGATACTTCAGAATGGTACTGTATTCACAGACAGTGTCTTTAAAGAAGTGATTAATTACTATAAAATGTGGTCCTCAGGGTGGGCCCTAATCCAGTATAACCAGTGTCCTTTTAAGAGGAGATCAGGACATGAAGAGACATGGGGGGATGGGGGGCAGACCAACTGAAGACACAGGAGAACACAGCCATCTACAAGCCAAGGAGATAGGCCTCAAACGGAACCAACCCTGCCTACACCTTGATCTTGGTCTTCCAGCCTCCAAAACTGTGAGTAAACAAATTTCTAGTGTTTAGGCAATGCAGCCCATAGTACACTGTAGTGGTGGCTCTAGCAAACTAGTGGAGGCCAGCTCATCAATCCCACAGGTACCACCTGATGATTCGCAGACCATCACCTACAGCCCACCCAGATATCCTGCCTGAGTTCCAGCTAAGTATGTCCAGGTGCCTCTCAGCATCTCTACTCAGATATCTAATCAGCACTTTACCCTTATCATGCCTCAGACACTATTACTCACGGACCTTCCACACCACTACCACCCTCCAAGTCTTTTCTACCTCAGGGAGCCGCACAGCTGTTCCTTTAGGGTGGGCAACGCAAAACTTCCTTTCCTGACACCCCATGTCCAATCCATGAGGGATTCCTGTCATAGCAACCTAAAAAATATATCCCCAATCTCACCATTTTTCTCAATTTCCTAACCTAGTGATCCTAGTCCAAAGCACCAATATCTCTCTACTAAACTATCAGGAAAACCTTTTTCTGGCCTTCCTGACTTCTCTTTTCTTGCCCCCCTTTTCCATTAAGCAGCCAAAATGAGCTTCCGAGCTTCTAAGTCAGGTCTCTTAAATCAGTATAATATTTGCCTTTGTAACGAAAATAAAACCCCAGCTTCTTTTACGACCTCTAGCTTATTTCATTGTCTCATTCCCTGTTCCAGCCGCACTGGCCTTCACCTAAGCTTGCTATCAGCTCAGAGACTTTGAATTTGCTACAGCCTCAGCTTCAAACATTCTTCTCCAGACAAACTGTTGCCTTCTCATGGCTCAAGTCATAGTGAAAATAGGCATTCTCAGAGACTCCTCTGACCATTCCATCTAAAGCATCCTCCCCACTCTCCACCTCATTACTGTCTGCCCTGGTCACAGCACTTACTAGCACCTGCAATTTCTACCTGATTGCATGTTTATTGATGGCTCCTCTCATCAGAGGGTAAGGAGACGGTAGTGACTTTTTCCAGTTCATTGCTTGCCCTCCCCCGGTGTGGTTAGGGACCAGCTGTCATTTCCATCGCTGTGGTCAGGAGAGACAGTACACAAGAAACACCATTTACTCTCTTGCTGTCCCAGGGCAACACCTCCAGGCACAATCTTGGAAAGGGTGTACCAAGCAGAAAGGACAGCTCAAGCAAGGAGAGCCAAGTGGGAGGGCTAACTAGAAACTGGACAAACATAAGGGCAAAGGGAGATCCAGCTGACAAAGTAGGCTGGGCAGGGAGAAGGGAACCTTATCTGCTAACGCCCAAACAACATACTAAAAATCTCTTCTCCTTGGGCAGCACCTATGACTCAAAGGAGTAGGGTGCCGGCCCCATATACCAGAGGTGGCGGGTTCAAACCCAGCCCCAGCACAAAAACAAACAAAAAAACTCTTCTCCTTTTCTGGGGATCACATTTTTTTCCTAGCTTCAGCCCCTCTAGACTTTTGCTCTTAGGACCCAATTCTTAGAAGATTCTTACCTGGGTATTATCTGAGGCATATTAGGAAGCACCTCTGCAGTTTCACTGTGGTTTAGTATTTTTTTTTTT